TGGCCCAAAAACTGGGAAAAGAAAAAAAGCAGCCATCATAATGGAGTGAAGATCCAAAATAGGGTTAGGGACCAGAGAATGAGTACAATCGGTAGGGTGCTTGCCTTGCACATAGCTAACCTGGGTTCAATCCCTGCACCCCACGTGCCGCCCCCCACCCCGAGCCCCACCAGGAGTGATCCCTGAGTTCAGAGCCAGGAGTAAGCCCTGCGCACTGATGGGTATAGCCAAAAACAAAAAACAAACCAAAAAACCCATTAAATATTGAGTACTACATGAACCAACAATTTCACTTAGCTTAAGAGAGTCGAAAATACGTTTAGGGCTGCAGAGAAAATATTGGAGTTAAGGCACATCCATTGTATGCCACTCACCTCAGTTCAAGCCCTAGTACTGCATATGGTCCCTTGTTGGATAACATTGGGCCGTGACAAAAAGAAAAAAAAAAGAGCAGCAACTTTATTTAATAAAATAGCCAAGTCTATAGAAAAAAAAAAAAAGGAAGAAAGTTTCGGGAATAAACTGACCTGGCCACCACCTAAGGTACTACTACAACACTCTTTTATTTTCCAAACTCAGTGTTTGAACCGGTACACAGTGATGTGAGTTGTGCTTTCCAACCCCTAACCCTGCACACGGTGAATAGAGAAACTGGCAAGACTCCACTGGTGTCATCTGATGTGTTTACATTGCCCTTCTGTTTGAAAGAAGCCCTAAGCTCCTGGTAAGCCCACAGTGATCTGCACACTGTCCCCCCTGAAGTGTTCATCTGGGGGATGTCTGCCCAGCACACCTGGATTTATTTCCCCAGATTTATCTCTACTTCCCCAGCAGCAGCAGCAGCCAGGATTTACAGAGATTGAGTTTTGTGCCTGCCCACCACCAGGAACGGCCACAGTCTGTTGGTCTAGAGGTGATGCTCTGTATCGAACCAGTCAATCACACTCCCTCTGAGGAATACAGGATTCAAATTAAATTCTTCACTGATCTGAAGAAACAACCTCCTCTCCTATGAAACCAGGGAAGCAGAGAAAGCTGATCTGCAAAGAGAAGCAGCGGGTTTCTGCTGAGGCGAGAGATCACAGAGGGACCTGGAGAGAGAAGAGAGAAAATCACAGCAGAGATAGTGAGAGAGAGGTTGAGAGAGAGAGAAAGAAAAAGAGAGAGGTAGAGAGAGAGAGAGAGAGAGAGAGAGAGAGAGAGAGAGAGAGAGAGAGAGAGAGAGCGCGCAAACAGACCAAGATCAGAGATTAAAAGAGAGCAAACACCACAGGTCGTGGGAGAAGAAATCCAAAACCAGAGAGTGATGACCAGGATTTTTCTGGATTTGCAGCTTGGGCTTCCAGTCCTGACTGTGGATGCGGCACCCCTGTTACTTATAACAAACTTTCCAATGCGCATCACCGCCTCTGCTCAGCTCACTGCCTCCGACTTGCTTCTCCACGTCCTCTCCATCTTTCAAGACTCACTTCTGGCCTTGCCATGTTGGGGACAAACTTGAGAGAGAAAGAGCATTCCTCTGGGAACTCTCTGAGCAGCCAGCACCCTACCTCCCTGCCATCCAGAATCCAGTCCCTACAAATCAGCCAGGGGACAGCAGGCTGAGACCAAAGCCCCAGGGATTTTCTGAAATGAACGTTTTGTCCATCCGGTATGCAGTGTCTACAGAGGAAGGGAACACCCAGTGAATCATCAGTGGTTTGGTGAAGCCACACTGAAAATCATGGACAGAACGTTAGAGATGGTTTCGATTCTATCACAAACATGCCTCCTTTTTTTTTTTTCCTACATCACACCCAGACCTCACACTCTCAACATGGGAGAGCTTAGCTGAAATGGTTTAGATCTGTGGTCTTCAACCACTAGTCTATGAACTCGAGCCAGGCCGCAGCTGTAGAAAGGTTGAAAACCATTGGTCTCCTGCCTTGGTTCTAACTTCTGGTCCACAGACTGGTGTGCGGGACAGGGGCTGGTCCACAGGTATAAAACTTTGAAAAGCAGTGGCTTAGATGCTAATTTAAGCTCCCCCATTTATTTATTTTTTTAGGTTTTTTATTATTGTTTAATTAATTAATTTTATTTTTTATTAGTGAGACATCATGAGGTACAGTTGTAGACTTACAAATTTTTGTGCTTGGGTTTCAATTATACAATGATCGAGTAACCATCCCTCCACCAGGCCCCATTTCCCACCACCACAGATCCCACTATCCCTCCCACCCCCCATTCCCCCCATCCCACCCTGCCTCTGTGGCAGGGCATTCCCTTTTGTTCTCTCTCTCTTATTGGGTGTTGTGGTTTGCAAAAGAGGCAATGGGTGACAATCATGTTTGGTCTATAGTCTACTTTCAGCATTAAGCCCCCCCATTTCGAGGTGAGAAAATCTCTTGAGAAAAATCATAGAGCCAATATGTTTAAAAGTCAGGGGACATGACTTTGACCCGCCATTGTCTCCATTGAAAGTGGTCACTGTCATAAGTTCCCAGTCTCTTGGTTTTGCATAAGTGATTTCTGCTTGTGCCTCTCACTCATGATAGCTGCTCCCAGCAAGCCCAGCTCTCCCAATTTCAAATTAGAGCTCATCTCCTCCAAGAAGCCTCCTCTGACCTTCCCTGCTAGTCTGATGCCCCTAAAGGATGTGTGTGTGTGTGCGTGTGTGCGTGTGTGTATGTGTGTGTGTTTGGGACCACACCCAGCAGTGTTCAGGGTTTACTCCTGTCTCTGATAGGGGAATACCTGACAGTGCTCAGGGGACCCTATGGCGTACAGGGGATCAGACCTCAGTCAACCATTGCAAGGTCAGCAACCTCCCTGCCGCACTATCACTCCAGTTCCAAGGAAATGTATTTACTATATTCCTGAAAAACTGTCTACTTGTATGCACGGCTTCACACTCAGTAAATGTCTGGTGAGTGAAGGAAAAGATCAGAAATCAGGGCTGTGGGTGTAGGTCAGAGCTACATTATTTGCGTTGCATATGTAAGGCCCTGGGTTTGATCCCCTGGCCTGTTCTGGCCCACTTTTGCCAGCAGCCTCCTCTGCGGGGAGAACTGGACGGTCAGGTCAAAGCCACACAGGCTCACTCCTGAAGCATCTGTGCTGCATAACTGACCCCTAACTCCTTGGCTGTCAAGTCCCCCCAAAAGTCAGGGGAGGCCTGTCCCCAGGAGCAGCGGGACAGAACAGAAGTGATTTACTGAGTAATCACAAGCCTCTAGGCCTTGCCTCTGCTGGCTTCCTCAGAGGTCATGGGGATGGGAAGAACAGCCAGAGAAGTTTCCAATCGATTATGAACCAAAACCTTGGGAACTGGAGAGAGGCTGATCCAAAGGACAAAGTCTGCCCAGGCTAGAGGCAGCCAGAAGACACTTTGCTAGATTTGCCAGGAGGTCAAGGGAATCTGTTGTCCTGATTGTAAATGATGCCGCCCCCACCCCCGCCCCCACCTCCCCCATCTTCCTCTTGGCTTCATTCCTGACAGAGTCTCAGGGCTGGGGTGGGGGAGAATCCCACACCCTGACTATGGATGCCTCTAAGGTCACTCTGGCACCTTCTATTGGCCGCAGATTTACTATTTTAAACCAAACACCTTTTCCAAAAGCCAAACCCTGTGCATTGGACAAGTTGTTTGACTCGAGGGACAGAGACTATTGCACACAGCGATCTGGTGTTCTGGAGAAGCTGGCGTCTTGAGAACTTGGGATAAAGGTGAAACCATCCCTTGTTTCTGAAAAAGGTCAACTAGGCCAGCTGGAGAAAGCAGCGGGCTGCTGAAAGACCACTTGGCCAGCTTGCCCAACTCGGGGCCAAGCCATTGTATAAGCTCCCTAGTATTGGAAGGAAAGGAAGAAAGAAAAAAAAAATCCAGACATGTTTTTAGCTTTGCTCAGAAGCCCAGAACATGCTCCAGGAATCTCCACTCCTCTCTGCAAATGGAAAATATGATCCATGAGAACAAACTTGAGTTTGAGTGTGTTCCTGGTTACCCAGTCTACGATTCCGGGAGGGGGAAGCAGAACTTCATGCTACCTTGGGGAGCTTACCAGAGTCCCCTCTGACCTTTTGAGCAGCTACACACTTTTGTGGTTACAAGACAGTCCAGCGGGACTAGGATGTGGCTCCATGATAGCGCACAGACTTCCCACGTGTGAGGCCCTGGGTTCATCCCTGGTCCCTGGGAGGCAGGAGACATGGGACATGCAAGGACAGGACAGAAGCCTCGAAACCAAAGCACACAATATGACTCGACTGACATCTGCTCTGAGCTACACTGGGTTTCTAGAAGAACCAAAGCAAATATAAAGGGAAACATGCTAATATAATTAGCAACCTGAGGCCAGCTGTGGCTAAGATGTTCTTTCCATCCTTACAGGAAGCTGTGGTCCCCCCTATCCAAAAGCTATCATAGAAAGTACACTGGAGGGCTGGGAAGCTGAGGCCTTCAGCACACCCAGTGCCTCCAGGTTGGGGCTGAAAAAAAAAAGCAAAAGAAAAAAGAAAGTGCACTGGAGTTCAGTACAGCCAAGAAATAAATAAGTGACTTACATTTCAAGTAAAAATGTTGCAGTTTATTCCTTTATTTCACCACCATGAATATGTATGAACTGAGATGGGGCAGGGGTAAGGTGAAGACAAGTGTCATACAGTTATTAGATCTTCAACATCGGATTCTCGTTACCGGGGAGATGGGCAACATCATGCAACATGGACAGGGCAGTACATTCCCGGGGATGGCACTCAGTACAGAACGGTCTGCACCGCTGAGTTCACACACGGACAATCTCGCACAAGATTTTCAAGAACAGCACAAGGAGGGGCTTTATTTCACCACTGGGATGCCACATGCCAACGGTCTCAAAGGCAGTCAGTAGAGGGATGAAGAAACCGGCGGATTGCACCAGAACAGATGTGCTTAAATTAACGGAGTGGCCGTCTGGGCGTCAGTCGCGATGACGGTCCCAGGGGGTGGGTGAGGGTGGGGCTGGGGGCGGGGTGGGGAATCACACTCGGGTGCGCACGGGCTGCTGGGCGGCCCCGGGGTACCGCAGAGAGCTCACCCTGCTGCGCCGCCGCTGGCCCAGCCTGCTGGCCCTCTGCCTCCTGGACTGCACTGCCCTCTGGCCGTCGCCCGCCCCGTTGGCGGCGGGCCGGGAGGGCACGTTCTGCAGGTACTGGAAGGCGCTCTGGCGGCCCACCTGCCGCTCCACGCAGTTGAAGGTGAGCGCCACGCCCACGTTGCTCTTCATGACTCTGGACGCGCCGTCCGAGGAGCCGTCGAAGCAGCGGCCGAGCGCGATCTCCTTGGCCGTGCGCGGGTCCTGGTCGGTGACGGTGTAGATGCCGTAGTTGTGGCCCAGGGGGTCCAGGGGCGCCAGCATGGTGTACTCGCTGGTGTCGTTGTTGACGGCCAGCGGGAGGTGGTTGACCAGGTACTCGTGCAGCATGGGGTTGACGCTGGCGCGGTGGCAGCTGCCCTGCGGGATGACCTTGACCAGGGTGCGGTCCACGCGGTCCTGGTCGTACAGCATCCCGCTGCACTTGAACTCCACGCAGGCCGAGGACACGTTGGGCTGCTCCCGGTCCCGCGTGCTGCGCACGTCGCGGATGCCGTAGAGTTTCCCCGCCGTGCGCCGGTGCGTGCCGCCCAGGTTGCGGGAGCGCACGTTCACCTCCTGCGGCCCCACGATCTTCACCTTGATGTAGCAGGCCCGGAACTCCATGGGCTTGGGCCACCAGGCCAGGTAGTCCTCCGTCCAGCTCATGGGGTCGTCCTCACTGAAGGGCACGGTGTTGTAGTCGTAGCGGTCCCCCTCGATCTGGTAGAAGCGGAAATGGGCCGCGCTGGGCGGAGCCTCCTCGCAGGCCCGAAGGTTCTCGAAGGCGTAGATGGGCCCGTTGCTCTCCTCTGCTGAGTTGGGCCTGGGCTTAGCCATGCTGATCTGGAAGGCTGTCTTCTTCACGCGCGGGTCCTCGTGGTCAGTCCGACGGTACTTGAGTTTGTTGAGGTAGGGCTGGGGGACCCCGATGGCGTTGGGGTTGAATTTGGGTGCAGATGCAACCGCTTCCAGCTCTTCCCCACCCAGGCTGGCCAGGACATAGGCAGAGTAGGCGTCCGGGGACCGGTCATCACAGAAGGCAGGCACGCAGGCCCCATTGGGGCCCGTTATGACACTGTCAAAGCGGCCCCAGGCCCGGGGGTTGGAGGAGAAGCCGGTCTGGGGCTCCAGGTTGATCACGGAGACTACCACCCCTTGGATCTGCTCACTCGGGAGGAACCGCTCACTGCGGTAAGCCCGCACCTTGATGAAGCACCTCCGGGCCTCAGGCACGTCCAGGTTGAAGAGCCGCCGCTCCCGGATCTCCATGTTGCCCACCAGGAAGGTCCTCTCTTCCCTCTTGCCCCGACGGTGGCTCTCAAACTTGAAGTCATCTTCCTCCTCCCACAGCCCCGTGTCCGGGTTGAGGGACCAGAGTTTCATGGTGGGCACATGCTCGGGCATCTTCACCTGGGCGGTGTCCAGGTGGACCTTCACCTTGCCCACATTCAGCGATTCCAAGGTGACCTCGTCGGTGAAGTCCACCGAGAACATACCATAGGTGCGCAGGGGCAAGGTGTCGCCTTCATCACTGATGAAATTCAGGTCGCTCTGGGCGGCGGTGGCTGTGGAAATATTCCGGGGGTCCAGGAAGGACACACTGGCCTTTACTTTGCCCGTGAAGGGCTCCCCGTTCTGCCTGTAGAAGCTATTGGAAGGGATCTCCAGCTCCGCCACGGGGTCCTCTCCGGGCACCTCTCCCAGGGGGATGAAGTTGGTCTCCATGCTCTCCAGGCTGACTGGCTCCTTCCGCCGGAGCACCTTGATCTCGTGGAACACAGCGCTCCCCTTTCTGTTGAAGGGCAGCACCTTGGTGGTGTTGACAAACTTCTGCAGCCTGTCCACGAAGGTGAGCACCAGCCTCTCCGTGTCCTGGGGGATCTGGAGGGTGAACGTGCCCTTGTAGCCAGTCATGCTCACGCGGCTGCCCCCCATGTACACGTGGCCGAAGCGCATGGGCTCCCCGTTGTCAGCGGCACTGACACGGCCCCGCACAATGCTCCGGGTCTCCGTGCATCGCTGGCAGCTGCACTCCACGGCCACCTTGGTGGGCAGCGTGTACCCATTGCACTGGATCTCTCGCTCCTGGGTTCTGGAGATGCCACAGCAGTTCTCCACAGCATCCCTGCACCTGATCCCGTTGTCCTGAGGCCCAGCGCAGGTCTTGACAGGGCATCGGCCCACGTCGTAGTAGAAGGAGTTGGTAGCGCTCTGGAAGCAATCGTGGGGCAGCCGGATCAGGTAGCTCTCAGGTGTAGGGTTGCAGGGGGCCTCATTGGGGCCTGTGGAGGGAATCGGGGTGGAGAATCAGCCTCAGTTCATGTCGCACAGAGCTGACAGCCTCATCCTACAGATGTGCCCCATGGTTTTCAGCATTCCTGCAGCTCTAGGAACCTAATTCTCACAGAGCTCCTTGGAGGGCTATGAAACAGCTATTACTAATCCTGTTGAATTCATTCATTGCACCACACCTGATTGTGCTCAGAGGTGACTCCCTGTTCTGTGCTCAGGGGTTATTTCTAGTCATGCTCAGGGATTAGGTGATGCTTGGGGCTGGATCCCAGGCCTCCACAAGCGAAGCATGAGCTCAGCTTGAAACATTGATTGAGCCTCTCTTCCAGTCTACTCCTATTTTTTTTCTTTTAAAATTCAGGATAAGGGGGCTGGAGCGATATCACAGCAGCTAGGGTGTTTGCCTTGCATGCAGCCAACCCGGGTTCGATTCCCAGCATCCCATATGGTCCCCTGAGCACCGCCAGGAGTAATTCCTGAGTGCAGAGCCAGGAGTAACCCCTGAGCATTGCCAGGTGTGACCCAAAAGGCAAATTAAATAAATAAATAAATAAAAGCCGTTTAAAAATAAATAAATAAATGAAATAAAATTCAGGGTGAGGCATGCATTATGCTGCCCGAGCCCATGTGCTGCTTGCACCCACATGGCTGAGCACATGTAGCGCCCGAGCACATGTGTTCCCCGCATCTCCCCTCTTGAGATGTGTACTTTCAAGCTTTTGTGTCTAATGCTGGGATGTGTGTAGGGGCTCTCTCCGCCCTTGAAGCCCGGGTTCTCCCTTGAGCACGATATTCTCCACTCTCTCTCCTACTGTCTCTCCCTTCTTCCCTTCAAAACCTCCAAATAAAAACTGTGTAATTTCAAAAATAAAAATACAGGATGAATGTTAACATTTTATTTATTTTTTTATTTATTGTCTTTTGGGTCACACCCAGCTCTGCTCCTGGTTGGGAGAACCACATGGGGTGGCGAGGATTGAACCCAGATCAGCTGGGTGCAAGGCAAGTGCCTTACCTGCTGTACCATCACTCCAGCGCCTAAGCCCATTTTCTGTGTAGGGAAACAATTGGCTGTTTAGACCACAAGGGAAATAGTTCTCCAAGAGGGAGTTTTACAAATTTGTGCAAGTTACCACCCAAATTGAGAGGGCTGCTGGTTTGTGGTTGGCAGTGCCATTGCTGTTCTGTTCCTGCAATGCCTGCCTGGCACTGTCTGTATCAAGACTTTTTTCTGTAGGCTGGAGCAATACCACAGTGTTTAAGGTGCTTGTCTTGTATGCAACTAACTCTGGTTCGAGTCCCAATAGCTCATATGGTTCCCTGAGCCCACCAGGAGTGATCCCTCAGCACAGAACCAGAAGTAATTCCTTTTTTTTTTTTCTTTTTATGTCACACCCGGTGATGCACAGGGGTTCCTCCTGGCTCTGTGCTCAGGAATTACCCCTGGCGGTGCTCAGGGGACCATATGGGATGCTGGAAATTGAACCTGGGTTGGCCGTGTGCAAGGCAAACGCCCCACCCGCTGTGCTATTGCTCCAGTCCCAGAACCAGAAGTAATTCCTGAGCATACCTGATGTGAACCCAAAAACAAAACAAAACAAAATTTTTTTTTGCATCCTGCTTTTTTTTTTTTTCCTGTTAGGAACCAGACATTCGCTTAAGTAGTAAATGGGCTTTAAAATGATCATAAAATGATCATAGCCAGGGCGTGCAGCTCAAGAGATCAAGCACTTGTCTTGGTGCAAGGCTAAACATGCGTCCCCTACCCACATTCAAAGCCCCACAATTGATGCGAGAAACACAAGTATCAGGAGCTACCTAGGGCACAGAGAGATAGTACAGTGATTAGAGTGCTTGCCTTGCACGTGACTTGACCCAGGTTAATTCCCGAGCCTCCCATATGGTCCCTGATTACAGAGCCAGGAGCAAGTTCTGAGCATCACTGAGTGTGCCCCCCCAAAAAAAGTCACCTCATATATCTTTAACATGGCTTTAACATACATGCAAATTTTTCTAAGAATGTAGCTACCAGACAAGAGAGAGAGACCAAAAGGCTGAGCACATGCTTTGCACATGTTAGTCCTGAGTTTAATCCCAGCGCTAACTGGTCCCCAAGTACCTCTAGGAGTGACACCTGAGCACTAACCCAGGAATAGCCCCTAAGCACCATTGAGTGTGGCCCCCAAGCAAACACAAAGAATGGAACTACCATATAATTCCCATGGAAGTAGGGCTGGAAAGAATACAGTGGGTATAGCACTCCCCTTGCATGTGCCCACAGGTTTGATGCCTGCCACTGCATACAGTCCCCCAAGCACTACCAGGAATGAGCCCTGAGTCCTGCTGGGTGTGGCCCAGTGACCCAAAATAAACAAATCCATCCATCAATCTCATAGAAATCAAGTTAAAGCTGTACTTTCAATTGCAACAACTAAGTGAAATGATATATCACCAAAAAACGATAAATCACTTTGGGGGAAAGAAAAAAAATCCCATGCCTTCAGCAGTGCCCTGAGGAACATGAGTGAGCAAACCTGAGCCCTGTGATTTGTCAGCCCATAACACTGTCCCTTGCAGGTGTCAGTCCCTCTGGCTACTCTCATATCCTTAGATCAAATTTCCTACTCAAACAAGCACTCTTTTGTATAAAAGTTTGCTTTCTCTGGCCAGGATGACCTGGGATGAATTCCTGGCACCTCAAAAAAAAAAAAAATTCCATTCATGGTTAGGGTCATGGGAATGTATGTTGGGGAATCACATTTAGTTGAGTTCCTATCCATCAGTCTAACTTCAAACAGTGAAAGTATTTGAAGTATGAGAGTATGACAAGCAGGGTGCTGAGGGCGGGCCCCCCGCCGAGGGCTCTGGGCAGCAGTCTAGCCTCCAGTACTTGTGTCTTGTCTGTGCCGGGGCTGTTGCTCAACTTTCTTGGCCTCTCTAGAACATGCCAGAGTCCTTCCAACAAGATTGCTCTTCCTCTTTGTTTGGTTTTGTTTAGGCCAATTACTAAGATCTACTTCTTCCCACTCCCTTTTCAAAGACAATGAGAGATCTTGGCCATAAATCTGTCCCCTTTCGCCTTGGAACCTTCTCTCTCTCTCTCTCTCTCTCTCTCTCTCTCTCTCTCTCTCTCTCCCTCCCTCCCTCCATTTTTTTTTTTTACATTTATGGGGGCCACCTTCCACCAGGGTCACACCCAGTCGGGGTGGGAGGCATGAGATGAGATGCTGGAGATTTGGCTCTCTTGGGAATCACACGTGTTAAGCATGTACCTTGCCGCTCGCGTGAGCTCCTTGACCCCACAGTCCACTTCTTGGAGCCAGCTCTGACCAGCTCACTCTTTCCCATACAGCACCCTCAGTTTTCCACTGTGGAAACATTCTTTTTCTTTTCCTCTTTGTTGTTTTTGTTTTTGTACCTATCCAGCAGTGCCCAGGGCTTACTCCTAGTTTTGTGCCGATGGAGGCTCAGGTCTTGCATGCAAGGCAAGCTCCTACTCCACTGGATGCTCTCCAGCCCCTGGAGCCCACAGTGCTCCTTCTGTCTTCACTGGCCTCTCAGACAGGAAAGGCCAATACCACTGAGTAGAGCCCCAAGCACCCAAACCCTCAGTGAAAGGTGAGAATGACTACCAGCCCCAACAAGAGGATGTTCTCAGTCACCCAAGGTCATACCCCTACACAGGGTGGGTCTCTCCCTACCCCCGGGATTTTCAGCCATTGACACCTGAGGCCAGCACCACTCTGCAACCTGAGGCCGAAAATTGCTGATCGAGGGAAATCGCGGGGTTTATATTTCAGTTTTTTTAATTTTATTTGGTTCGGGGGCCACATCTGGAGGTGCTAAGGGCATATTCCTGGCACAGGGCTTGGGACCCTACAGTGCTGGGGATTAAATCTGGGGTTCCCAAAGGACTGGAGAAATAGTACAGCAGGTAATAGTAACAGCTTTGCATGCAGAAAACCTGGATTTGATCCCCAGCACCTCATAGGGTCCTCTGTATTCAAGAGTGATCCTTGTTATAGTACAGTGGGTAGGGTGTTTGTCTTGCACGTGGCTGACCAGGGTTCGATCCCCAGCATCCCATATGGTCCCCCAAGCACCGCCAGGAGTAATTCCTGAGTGAAGAGCCAGGACTATCCCCTGAGCATTGCTAGGTGTTACCCTCCCCCGCCCAAAAAAAAGAATGATCCTTCAGCACAGAGCCAGGAGTAAATCCTGAATACAACCAAGTAAGGTAAGGTAAAGGTAAAGGCCCTCCCGTTGATCGTCGATTTGCTCGAGCGGGCCCAGTAACGTCTCCATTGGAGACTTTGTTGTTACTGTGTCTGGCATATCGAATACTCTCGGTAGCTTGCCGGGCTCTCCGAGAGGGGCGGAGGAATTGAACTCGGGTCGGCCATGTTGGCCGCATGCAAGGCAAACGCCCTACCCGCTGTGCTATGACCCCCAAACAAATAAATAAATCTGGGGCTCCCACATGTGAAGCCTGTGCTTAGCCTTTGGCATCTCCAGGGCCCCTTGATTTTCTACAGTTTTCTACCTTTACCTTCTTGTTTGGCCATTACATTTTATCACGTGCTGGAGCAGAAGCCCTGGAAGGTTGAGATTCGGGTCTGTGCCAGCTTTGAATCCCAAGGGGCAGAATAGGGCATAGCACAGGGATTAGAATGATAGTACAGTGGAGAGGGAGCTTTTCTTGCACATGGCCGACCTGGGTTCGATCCCTGGAATCCCATATGGTCCCCTGCACACCACCAGCAGAGAGCCAGGAATAGACCCTGAACACTGTCAGGGGTAGCAAAAAAAAAGTCTACCATTATGCCCAGTGATGCCAAGTGTCCTGAGGCAGACATGGACCCCCAAGACCCAGACAGACTCACCTATGATGCTCAGCTGGACAACCTTGGACTTCACAGCCCCAGCGTCACTCTGGGCTTTGCAAAAGTACTCGCCAGCCTGGTCCCGTCGCAGGTTCCTCAGCACCAGCTTGCTCTCATGCTTGTACAGGGACACGTCCAGCTGTGTGCCATTATGGTACCTGCAAGGGACAGAGAGGTATAGCCAGAGAGGGCAGAGAGGGCAGAAATAGCCAGGACAGTGCCAAGAGCAAGGAAGCTGGGTGAGTTGGTGGCAGCCTGTCAGATGCCCTCATCACCTCTGTCTCAGCACATCCAAGACTACTGGCAGTCCTGGGAGTTGGAGGTTTGATTATGAGTCTCGGTCCCACCCTCAAATGGCTTGGGATGGGAGCAAATCAAACTAAAACATCCAAATGGGAGCTGAACAGACACTTCCTTGAGATGACATAAAGATGGTGCACAGAAGCCGGAGACATGGCAGAGCAGGGAAGGCACTTGCCTGGCATCCAGCTGATCTGGGTTCAATCCCTGGCACTGCATATATTCCCCCAAGCCCACCAGGAGTGATCCCTGAGAACTGAGCCAGGAGTAAGCCCTGAGCACAGCTGGGTGTGGCCAAAAAAAACAAAAAGACAACCAACAGGCATATAAAAAGATGTCACTAATGTTCATCACTCATTATCAGGAAAATGCAGGTCAAAGTGACAATAATGGCCTATGTTAAAAAGAATGGGAGGGCCTTTTTCCACTCTGGAAAAGCCTGGTTCTCTCTTGAACAGCTATGAACAGGTATATGAACAGGTATCTCTCTCTCTCTCTCTCTCTCTCTCTCTCTCTCTCTCTCTCTCACACACACACACACACACACACACACACACACACACACACTTTCTCCCCTCAAATTTCCCTAAATTTATTTAATATCTTTATTTATTTTTGGCTTTTTGGGTCACACCCAGTGATGCTCAGGGGTTCCTCTTGGCTGTGCTCTCAGGAATCATTCCTGCTGGTTCTCAGGGGACCATATGGGAAGCCGGGGATCAAACCTGGATTGTCCATGTGCAAGGCAAATGCCCTACCCACTCCAGCCCGCATCTCTCTATTTCCTTCTTTAAAAATAAAAGCGGTTTTGCTTCAATGATAATAAATAAATAAATAAATGAAGGAAAAGAATGGGGTCTGGAGTGATACTATAGCAGGTAGGACACTTGCTTCGTATTCAGCCAACCTGGATTTGATCCACTGATATCCCGTATGGTTCCCTGAGCAAGCCAGGACTGATCCCTGAGCCACAAATCAGCCCTGAGCTCTACTGGGTGTGGCCCAGAAAGAAAAAGAAACAAAGGCCCAGTTAAAACAGGCCCAGGGGCTGGAGCGATAGCACAGTGGGTAGGGCATTTGCCTTGCACGTGGACTTGTTCGATTCCTAGCATCTCATATGGTCCCCCAGGCACCGCCAGGAGTAATTCCTGAGTGCATGAGCCAGGAGTGACCCCTGTGCTTCACCGTGTGTAACCCAAAAAGAAAAAAAGAAAAAAACAGGCCCAGCCTTGTATGTCACCAACAGGTCAGTGAACTGGGTTGCAGAGGAGAGGAGGGACGAGGCAGGGCTGCTGCAACGATAGTGCGGGGTCACTGACAGTCCAGCAGAGTGGGTGGGGAGGGAACTTTGCAGCATGATTCAATAATATGGAAAATTGCAATCTACATCGCCTCAATAAAATTGTTTACAGAACAAAGTGTGAGCAGAAGGCTTGAGATGTAGCTCAAAAGACTAGAGTATAAGTACCGCGTGCAGGAATCCTGGATTACATCTCTGCATGGTCCCCCAAGAAGCATGCGAGTAGGAGCCGGATCCATATTAGAGCGGGTAGAGTGCTTGCCTTTCATGCCACTAACTTGGGTTCAATCCTCAGCCCCACAGATGGTCCCCCAAACCCACCAGGACTGATCCCTGAACACAGAGCCAAGAGTAAGCCCTGAGTACCACCAGGTGCGCCTCAAAAATTAGAGGGGGTGAGGGGTGCACACCACAGGGATTGCCCAAGCACCTCTGGACGTGACCCACAAAAGAAAAATAAAGGGTCGGAGAGACAACACAGTGGATAGAGCATTTGACTTGCACACGGCCAACCTGGGTTCAATCACTGGCATCCCATGTGGTTCCCCCAAGCACCGCCGGGAGTAATGCCTGAGTGCAGAGCCAGGAGTAACCCCTGAGCATCGCTGGATTGCTGGGTGTGGCTCAAAAAGGAAAAAGGAAAGAAAAAGAAAAACAGACATGAAATGGTTTGAAGATCTCTGACTTCACCAATTGCTGGGAGAACATACAATTGCTAGAAAATGTCTGTACAGGTAAAAGTTTCAAAACATTGGGGACTCTGGCCTGGTTTGTGTTTGCTGGAAGCCACAGGCCTGAAGAAACTTGTTCTAATGTATAAGTCCTGGAGTCAGAGCTGCTGTGTGCGGTTGGTACCTCATGGCGGCCTCGTTCCAGACCTCGAGCCGGAAATTTCTGCTTTCTGAGCAGGAAGAATACTCACCAGAGGGCTGGAGCGATAGCACAGCGGGTAGGGCGTTTGCCTTGCACGTGGCCAACCTGGGTTCAACTCCCAGCTTCCCCTATGGTCCCCTGAGTACCGCCAGGAGTCATTCCTGAGTGCAGAGCCAGGAGGCCAGCAGTAACCCCTGTGCTTTACCAGGTGTGACCAAAAAGCAAAAAAAAGAATACTCACCAGAAATACTTGTCTGGGCTGGGCTTTCCCGTGGCTGAACAGCACAGAGCAACACTCTGCCCTGCTCGCCGTGCTTTTGTCTCGGGGTTCATCACAATGTATGGGGTCTCTGGGAAAGAAGATGAGAAAGGAAGTGTGTGCTTTTGCTGCTGAGAGATTCTCCAGAGCTCTGCTGCCTCGGGTTCTTCAAGTTCTTAAGAAGATGTGTCAGAGGGGCCGGAGCGATAGCACAGCCGATAGGGCATTTGCCTTGCATGCGGCTGACCTGGGTTCGATCCTTGGCATCCCATATGGTCCCCCGAGCATGACCAGGAGTAACTCCTGAGTGCGGAGCCAGGAGTAAACCCTGAGCATCGCTGGGTGTGACCCAAAAAGGAAAAAAAGGAAAAAAAGGAAAAAAAAAAAAGATGTGTTGGAGGTTGGAGTATTAGTACAGCAGGGAGGGCATTTGCCTTGCACGTGACTGGCCAGAATTTCATCCCTGGCACCCCACAGAGTTCCCCCAGGCCTGCCAGGAGACCGAGAGATAGCACAGTGGGCAGGGAGCTTGCTTTGCATGCAGTTGACCTGGGATCCATCTTTGGAACACTATATGGTCTGAGTAATTCCTAAGTATGGCTGGGTGTGCCTCCCTACCCCCCCAAAAAGTCATACATTAAAATTGCATGAGCTCATCAGAAAGAGAGAGTGAGAGAGAGAGAGAGAGAGAGAGAGAGAGAGAGAGGGCTTGAGGGAGTGAGGAATCACCCTCAGTTTGGAACTTCCTCTCCTTAGCTTCTCAAGCAATGGAAGATCAAATGGGCCTTGTTCTAATAAGTTCCAAGCATTGAAACTGGGGCTGAGCTGGCTGTTTTGAACACTGCAGTATTCCAGTACTGCCTCCAGCAGTTCAAAAGCGAACACAGGCTTCTCCAAAATGGAAATAAGGATGCAAAGAAACAGAGAGACGAGAGATTCACGTTCAAGGAAGAACATGGGCTTGAAGGTTGGCTTCCGCACTATTTTTTTTTTTAATGTTCCCCGGTGGCCTCCCACCTCTAAACCTCAGACTGTATTGCAGCTCACTATTTTAACTACTTTTATTTTACCTAAGGTGACCAGAGGGTGAGGGAGATAGCTCCAAGATCGCATGCCTTGCATGGAAGGGCGGGGGGGGGGGGGGGGGGTGGCTGAGTTCAATCCCCAGAATCACCTGGTCTCCTAAGCACCACCAGAAATGACCAACTTTTCTTCTCCCCCTACACATCGCTCTGAGCCAAAAACAAGCAAGAAGAAGATAAGGTGGCAAGGCACTCCTGCATTTGAGAGAGCAAGCTGTGTATCAATGGCTGGGGGAAAAAAAACTGAGGAGCGGAGTATAGAGCAGGTTCAAAGGCCCTGAGGCAGGCATGTGTTTGAGAAACCCATGAAAGCCATGGGGAGAGTGACTCAGAAGGGCAGAGAGGGAATAATGAGAGAGGACAGTAAGGACATCCTGGTGAGAGGGAGAGAGCACTACAAGTCCTGGTCAAGTCTAAAAGTTTAACTCCAGGTAAGCTATAAAGTCAGTTTTTAGCCCTGAAATCTCATTACATGCAAGTCCAGCCTTCTGGCCCAACCTACCCTGGAGAACATAGTACCTGCCCTCATGAACTCAGCACTGACGGTAGCTGCCTTCCTGTCAGTCCTGGGCATCGTGAGCATGATGGGGACAAACTTGGTTTTTGTGATCTTCAAGGTGCTCATGCCATCAGGGCACAGGCCTGGCACACGGAACTGCCCACTGCTGTCCGTCTGGGTCAGTGGCTTCACTGTCTTGCTGAGCAGGTGAACCGTGGCCCCTGAAGCTGGGGCTCCCCCAGGCAGGGAAACAGCCCCATGCAGTGTGAAGTCCTGGCACATGCAAGCATCACAGTTGGCATTTGGCTGTCCCATGGGGCAGCGCAGGTCGCAGGCTGTGAAAGGGAAGAACATCGGGAGGGCATGGATGGATTCCAGAACTCCCAGCCACATCCCAGCCCCAAACTTGCTGATACTCCCTTCCTCCTTGTTAACTTTCTAATCAGCCTCCATGACCAGTGCCCACTCATCCATCAAGATTTCACCCTAGGGGGCTGGAGCGATAGCACAACGGGTAGGGCATTTGCCTTGCACGCGGCCGACCTGGGTTTGATTCCCAGCATCCCATATGGTCCCCTGAGCATCACCAGGAGTAATTCCTGAGTGCATGAGCCAGGAGTAACCCCTGTGAATCGCCGAGTGTGACCCAAAAAGAAAAAAAAATTCACCCAGAAGAACCAGGGACAAGTGCTCAAAGAGCTGGAGTGCCAGCGGGAGTCCCAGATTTAATCCTGACAGCACAGGGTCACCTCGGCACAGCTGAGAGCAATTCCCAATCACCAAGTCAGGAGTGGCCCCAAGTACTATCAGGTATGGCCCCATAACCAAAATGAGAAAGAGTGATTTAACTGAGAATACTGCCTCTAGGAAGCTTTTCTTGATTTGCAGAAATAATTAACACTCTTCTGTGCTCCCACCTGATCCTGCACCTGCTTAATTGATACCTGGTGAATGGGACCAGGGATGTGGCTCAGTGCTAGAGCCTTTCCTTGAATGACCCTGGGTTTGAGCCCTCACACTACCAAAAAAAAAAAAAAAAGACCAAACCAAACAAAAAACCATGCACAGGGACCGGAGCGATAGCACATTGGGTAGAACATTTGCCTTGCATGCAGCCGACCTAGGTTCGATTCCCAGCATCCCATATGGTCCCCCAAGCACCACCAGGAGTAATTCCTGAGCATCGCGGGGTGTGACCCAAAAAGCAAAAAAAAAAAAAAAAGGAAAGGAAGGGGGCTGGAGCAAAAGCACAGCGGGTAGGGTGTTTGCCTTGCATGCAGCCAACATGGCCGATACAGGTTCGATTCCCAGCGTCCCATGTGGTCCCCCAAGCACCGCCAGGAGTGATTCCTGAGTGCATGAGCCAGGAGTAACCCCTGAGCAATGCCGGGTGTGACCCAAAAAGCAAAAAAAAAAAAAAAAAAGGAAAGGAAGTCAAAAGTTTGGGCCATACTGAATACCCACTTATTTCAGATGCATTCATATCTATAACAAATTTGGTTTTCTCCCCCCTCCCAGCTCCATTCAGACATGGACAGAGGGGAAGTGTGCATCAAATATCCTCTCCAGAGAAGGTGCAGGCATGATGTTTTCCATCAACGACACCACGGGAGACATCCATGCCATTCAGAGGCTCGACTGGGAGGAGAGGGCCCGATACACACTAAGGGCTCAAGCCCTAGACAGGCGAACAGACTGGCCTATGGGTGTGACCCAAAAAAGAAAAAAAAATGCACAAACTTTAGTGAACCTGCGACTGACTCAGCCTGACCTCCTGACCTGTCCTAGGCCATGTCACCCTCAGTCCCACACCCAGTGCTGGAAGTAAGGGGCTTACCTGCACAGTCGTGACCCACGCAGAGCCGGCCTTCTTCCGTGGCCTCGCGGCACAGCGACACCGTCTCAGACAGGCAGGTGCGTGTTCGGGTCTGCACCCCAGTGTGGCCGCAGGAAGCGGAGCACTTGCTCCACGGAGACCAGGCGCTCCAGATGCGCTCCGCATCTCGGCGCAGGGACCCTGGAAGCAGATGTCTGAGTTCCCTTGTGGGGGACTATCAGGAAATGACCCCTGAGACTGTCCCCACACAAGGCCTCTGCTTCCCCACAGACATCACTGATCACACGTTGGCTACGACCCTTTTCTGTTTCCTTTATTTGATCTGTATCTGGCAATGCTCAGGGCTGACTCCTGGCTCTGTGCTCAGGGCTGAATCCTAGCTCTGTGCTTACGGATTTACTCCTGGCGAGGCTCAGTGAACCATGTGTGATGCTGGAGATAGAACCGTGGTCAGTCATGTGCAAGGCAAGTGCCTTGCCCACTGTCCTATCTCTCCAGTCCAAGATCATTTTTCCATAAGAAGAGAATCAAGAGTTTGGGAAAAGCAGGCTCTCTAATTTGCTCAGACACACCAAATGGGCCAGGGGTACTTGAGACAGATTTGCTGACTGAGCCATGGAACGTGGCTCCATTGTTGGGATGCGGGGAAGCCCCTGTCCCTCAGACTGGGGACGTCCCACAAAAGGACTGTTCCTGAAGTCAGGGTCTGGGGCTCGGTGGCCCCTCAGGCCTCCTTGCATCCATCCTTCCTCCTCACATGGGTACAAGAATTGGGAACTCTTGGGGCCAGAGAGATAGAACAGGAAGTAAGACACTTGCCTTGCACATGGCCAACCTTGGTTTGAATCCTTGGCACCATATATGGTCCCCTGAGCAGTACCAGGAGTGATCTCTGAGCACAGATATGGCCCAAAAACAAAATAAAAAAGAAAAGGAGGGCTGGAAAGATAGCACAGCGGTTAGGGCGTTTGCCTTGCATGTGGCCGACCCTGGTTCGATTCCCAGCATCCCATATGGTCCCCTGAGCACCGACAGGGGTAATTCCTGAGTGCAGAGCCAGGAGTAACCCCTGTGCATCGCCGAGTGTGACCCAAAAAAGCAAAAAAAAAAAAAAAAGAAAGAAAGAAAGAAAGAAAGAAAGAGGCTGGAGCAATAGCATAGTGGGTAGGCTGTTTGCCTTGCACGCAGTCGACTGGGTTCAATTCCCAGCATCCCATATGGTCCCTTGAATACCACAAGGGGTAATTCCTAAGTGCATGAGCCAGGCCAGGAATAACTTCTGTGCATCGTCAGGTGTGACCCCCAAAAGCACTGTAGCACTGTCACTGCACTGTCCTCCTGTTGTTCATCAGTTTGCTCAAGCGGGCCCAGTAATGTCTCCATTGTGAAACTTCTTGTTACTGTGTTTGGCATATCAGATATGTCATGGGTAGCTTGCCAGGCTTTGCTGTGCAGGTGAGATACTCTCAGTAGCTTGCCGGGCTCTCCGAGAGCGGCAGAGGAATCAAGCCCAGGTCGGCCAGGTCGGCCAGGTAGGCCACGTGCAAGGCAAACTCCCTACCTGCTGTGCTATCATCCCAAAAGCAAAGAGAGAGAGAGAGAGAGAGAGAGAGAGAGAGAGAGAGAGAGAGAGAGAAAGAAAGAAAGAGAGAGGAAGGAAGGAAGGAAGGAAGGAAGGAAGGAAGGAAGGAAGGAAGGGAGGAAGGAAGGGAGGGAGGTAGGGAAGGAAAGAAAGAGAGAAAGAGAAAGAGAAGAGAGAAAGAGAGAAAGAGAAAGAGAGAAAGAGAAAGAGAGAAAGAGGGAAGGAAGGAGAGATAAGAAGCGAGGAGGGGAGGGCAGGAAATGAAGGGAGCACTGGATGGAGAACCCCATCTGGTTCCTCCATGCGGGGAAGGTGACGCGAGACTCACCTGGCGGGCACAGGAAGCGCACAGTGTAGTTGGAGCAGTTCTGGCCAGGCCGCTGCTCCCTGTTAAGGCACCAGAAGCCCTCCCGGGGGCTGCTGTGGACCACCTGGCCGGTGCTGCTCGCGGGGGTCCAGTCGGTGGTCCGCGCCTCCAGCCACAGGGGCTGGGCACACACGCGGTCCTCGTAGTAGAACTGAATTGCGTCCAGCCGCTCAAAATCACCTTTCCCCCCTGGGTGGTCGATGTTGAACCAGGTGGTCCACTCGCCAGGACCTGAGAGTCGGGAACAGATGGAGAGGAGCTGCAGGCACGTCCCCGCCCACCACCCACCACCAACCCCCTGCCTCCAGCCCATCACCTCATCTGCCCTGCCGGCTGCCCCACCTGCAGGGACGCTCCCGGCAGCTGGCTGAGAATCCAAGCTTGCTCTTTTTCCCATGCCTAGTTTGGATGGTGCCAGGACTAAGCCCAGGGTTCACACGTGCAAGGCAGGTGCTCCAGCACTGAGCCGCGTCCTGGGCCACAATCCCTGCCCAGGCGGCCTAGTTAGAGAACGTGGGCACTGTCCTCCCTGAGGGCTCAGCCTCCAACTTTCCCCTCCGCCCTCCTGGACTGCTCGGAGGAGCCCTCTCTGTGGAGCTGGGGTCCCCGCTCCTAGGGAGCTGGTCCCTGTTCTTGTTTCATCATCCTCACCTTCCCCCTTAACACCACCCTTGGCCTGTGCTCACCACCCCCACCTGGTCCCTGGACTAGGTTAGGTGGCTCAGATCAAATGCCCAGCCCAAGGGAGCAGAGACAAAGCCAAAAGGCTCCGTGAAGGGGGTTTCCACCGACGCTCCAGAACCTTCTTAGCTAACTCAGGTACGACCTTCCTCTGCTTTGGCCCCAACTCACTCTCCAGGGGTTCCACTGGCTGTGCAAAGTTGCTGGGTGTCCTCCTGCCGGGGCGGACTCTTCTCACAGATTGGCTGAGCGTTGGCTGCCTCCCTGGGGGTCAGAAGAAGGGGTGGGGATGGTTAGTTCCTGGGGCACAGTGGAGGTCTGCTACCTGCCCACAGTACACATGTCAGTGGCGTGGGGCACAGGCTCACGGCCCCACCCTGTCTCCTGCTGGGAGACAGGCAAATTCACAGACACTGCAACCCTCGAAGACTGCCAGGGCTGGACAGAGACTTGGAACAGGATGCAGCTCAGCAGCAGAGCTGATGCTGGCCTGTGTGATGACCTGGGTTCGATCAGGGGGTAGAGGCGGGCTGGTCAGGGGGTAGTCCAGGGATAAGGCATTCGCCTTGTATGCAGCCCGCCCAGGTTTGATCCCTGGCACTGCATATGGTTCCCTGAGCACAGCCAGGAGTGATCCCTGAGCACAGAACCAGGAGTAAGCCCTGATCACTGCTGGGTATGCCCCCCACCAAAAAAAAAAAAAATTGTTTTTAAAAGCTTAATTAAGCGCTGGAGGGATAATGTAGTAGGTAAGGCAATTTGCTTGCATGCAGCTGACCTTGGTTTGATCCCAGGAACCCCATATGGTTCCCCAAGCACCACTGGGATCCATCTTTGAGCTCAGAGCCAGAGTGAGCCCTGAGCACCTCCAAGTGTGCTCCCGTTACACTCCCCACCCCCCACCCCACCCCAACCCCACCCCCAGCACCAAAAAAAAAAAAAGACTGAATTAATAATTACTTTCTCTGAAAATACTGTAAGCATAAGACAGGTCCTGGCCTGGGGCTGGAGGGAGAGACAGCACACTTGCCTTGCACACCATCAACTCCTGGCATTCTTAAGCACCGCCAGGAGCAACTCCTGACCACAGAGCAAGAAGGAACCCTTGGGCATTTTGGTGTGACTCCAAAACAGAACAACAATAACAAAAAAAAAAAAAACACAGGTCCTGACCCATAGTGCGTATCCAGTGAGTGGCTGTGCTAACACTTTTGTTTGGGGGGCCACAAATATTTGGAGGTGGAGAACCTGATGGTGCGACCCCAGTTCCTCCTCCTAAAATAAGAATGAGAATTGCCTGTCCCCAAAGCCGTGGGATCAAACATGGGCCGGTAGAGCACAGAGAGTGATGCCTGGTGCTCACTGACTGTATGGGGGGCCAGTGGGTGGTCACTTCCCGCCATGGGCCCAGCTGGGCTCTGGGAGCAAACGAAGCCTCACCTATGGCACCCCCTGGCCTGACTAATAAGGGATCCTCCATTTTCTGGCCCTGGCTGGTGGGGAGGAGTACAGGGAGGACTTTAGGTGATGAGAAGAGTTCAGTCCTGGCCCCCAGGAGGCCGGCTAGAGGCTCCCGACTTAAGAGAAAGGAGAGCCAAGGCCTGTTCTGAAAGAAATTAACTCTCACGCGAGGCTCCACATCAGAGTCCCCTGTGTGGCTTCCTCAGGGTGGCCGGGGCTCTTCCATCAGACTAATCTCGTTTCCCTTCAGACAGCTGAGGATGAGCATCTTCACAAACAGCAGCTGCCAGGTGCAAAGAGCAAGGAGAAAGCAGCACGCAGAGGGTGACACTGTGGCTGCCTCCGTTCCCACGTCTCTGCTCCCCAAGTCAGCACCGGCCAGAGGATAGAGCGATAGGACAGCAGGTAGACTGTCTGTCTTGCACACGGCAGACGCAGATTCGACCACCAGCATCCCCTATGGTCCCCCGAGCCTGGCGGGAGTGATGCTTATGTGCAGGTGTGCAGAACCAGGAGTAAGATCTGAGCACCGCCAGGTGTGAGCCCCTCCCCCCCCACCAAAAAAATAATAAAGCAAACAAACGGGGCTTGGTGGGGTTTGAAGAGAAGCTCGGCTGGCAGAACAGAGCACATTCTGCACACTGGAGGTCTGGGTCTGACCCTCGTCCCCCCAAGCCCCAGCAGGAGCAGGAACATGAAGCTGAGAGTAGACCCTGAGCATCGCAGGATGAGACTCAAAATAAGAGAAGAGAAAAAAAAAAAAGAAGCAGAGGGTGGAGGAGGGAAACGGAGGTGGGAGAAGAAAAGAGAGGAGGAGTGAAGAGCATTGGAGGGCAGAGGAAGGAAGAGAAGAGGAGGGGAGGAGGAGAGGGGGTGGGAGAAATTTTATGGTTTTATGATTTTTTTTTTTAGGCTTTTTGGGTCCCACCTGGCGATGCTCAGGGGTTACTCCTGGCTCTGCACTCAGGAATTACCCCTAGCAGTGCTCAGGGGACCATATGAGACGCTAAGATTCGAACCCAGGTTGGCCAGGTGCAAGGCAAACGCCCTATCCGCTGTGCTGTTGTGCCAGCCCCTATGTTTTTTTCTTTTTTTTTTTTTTTAATTTTTTTGTTGTGTTATTTCTTTTGGGGCCATACCTGGCAGTGCTCGGGGCTCTGCGCTCAGGTATCACTCTTATGGGGCTTGGAGGATCCTATAGGATGCTTGGGATTGAACCAGGTCAGCTGCAAGCAAAGAGCCCTCCTCTTTCTACTCTTTCTTTCCCGGAGTGTGTGGCCAGAACCCTGCGTGGAGAGTGGGTGGAAGAGAGGACAGGGCAGGGCTGGCGGCTCAGGCCCTTCCGTGCTGCAGGGTCGGGCAGGCAGTTGCTCTCTGCCTGGCCCTGTCACCAGTGGACATGGGCACCAAAAAGGACCTGCTGTCTGTGAAATTTGACTCAGGTCTCAGCGAAACTGAGCATTAGGCCAGAATTTTCATGAAGCTGAAAACCAGACCAAACTCCAAACTCAACTGCTGAGATTTCCTTTTGCTTTGGCTGCTGAGAAGCTCACCACTGAATTTAGCACTCAGGGTCTCCTCTGCTTCCTTGCTCCAGCCCTGCAAATAAGTGCTCATCCATCTCCCCATTTAAAAGATTCTGTTCCGGACCAGAGCTATAGCAAAGTGGGTAGGATGTTTGCCTTGCACGCAGCTGATCTGGGTTCAATCCCCGGCATCCCATATGGTCCTCCAAGCACCGCCAGTAGTAACTCCTGAGTACAGCCAGGGGTAACCCCTGAGCATCACTGGCTGTGACCCCCCCCCAAAAATCAATCAATCAATAAATAAAAGATTCTGTTCCACCAGTTTTAATATTGAGAAAAATCGGGGCAGGAGTGACAGTACAGTGATAGCAAGGTAGCAAGGGTACTTGCCTTGCACGTGGTTGACCTGGGTTTGATCCCTGATACCCCATATGGTTTCTCACACACTGTCTGGAGTAATTTCTGAGTACAGAACCAGGAGTAGCCCCTGAGCACCCCTCAGGTGTGGCCCAAAAACCAAAACAAATATTAAAAAAAACCAACAAATAAAAATAAATAAATAAATAAATAAAAACCTCTTGAGAACAATCTCAAATCCATTGTGCAGACATGCAGATTATAATTTAGGGACACAGTCCTGAAGCCAGCCTCAGATCTTCAGGCTAGTGTACGATTTAAGGAGACACATTACTAGTTCCCAGGCCAGACATGACTTCCCTGGGCCCGGTGGGGGGCTGGAAGAAAGCAGATACTTAGCCTGTACCCAATACAGCCGTGACCTCCAGGATGAGGACGAAGGACACCCAGGAGGCACTAGGCACCGCCATCTCTTTCCACGAGGAGCGGGACCGGAGCTGGTGAGGTGCTTCTCACAGTGATCTTGTCCCTGAAATGTCCCTGCGTGATTTCTTCGTCCCAGAGATCTGTAAGGAAATGAAGCTTGTCAGGTTCTATGTTTCTGTGTCATGTCTATGGCAAAAGTCAGGCAAAATCATCCCTGCCATCGTCCTCCACCTGGACAGCTTCAGGATGGGGCGGGGATGGGGGTGAGGGTGAGGGCATAAGACTTGGAAATTAGGGGCTGGAGCAATAGTACAGCGGGTAGGGCGTTTGCCTTGCACACAACTGACCCAGGTTCAATTTCCAGCATCCCATATGGTCCCCTGAGCACCGCCAAGGGTAACTCCTGAGTATAGAGCCAGGAGTAACCCCTCTGCATCGCCGGGTGTGACCCAAAAAGCAAAATAAATAAATAAATAAATAAATAAATAAATAAGACTTAGAATTAGTGAACTTGGATCCAAAGCATGATTCCAGGTGCTGGTCCCCACAGTCCGATGGGGCGTCGGGAAGGAGGGGGATGCACTCTGGTCAGTGCAGAGGGGCTGACTCACTCACCCATCACTCATGTTTGCTGCTCTATGGTGGTGCTCTAACACCTCTCAATCCCAGCTCCATCTGAGGCCTGACCCCCGGCCCCACCGCAGGACCCTCCCAGAAAGCTGGGGGAGGCCGCGGCTGCCCCCACACTCCCATCAGCAGCGCGTTTAGCTGTGCACAGGCTATGCCAGAACACACTTCTGGCCTCTTTACTCAGCCTGGCTGAGAGTTCCAAGGCCAGGACCCTGAGGGGGACCAGCGGGGATATCCTGGGCGCGGCCGGGGCTCCCTAGTAATTGCAGATTGTGGCTTAGGGGCGGTAGGAGCTGAGACAGATGATCTGCGGCTGGAACCTCACACCCTGCCCTGGGCTTTGCTCTGCCCAGAAGCTCTGGACAAGCCAAGTCTGGTCGGTTCCTAAAGATTCATACTTGACTCCCTGCTCTTGCCAAATTTGGGGTGTTGTAGGAAAGAGGAGAGTCTTCCTTTCAAGGGGGGAAATCCAAAAGCACCTGGCGGTCCTGGGGACAAGCCTCCCCCAACACACCACTGGTCTCAGCAAAGTAACAGAAGTCCAGGGATGGGAAGGTCCCCCCGGGTCTGCTCTTGCCCGTCTTCCCCAAACTCTGGGCTCCTCACAGGTGGCTGAGTACCACAGGGCCACACGGCATTGACTCTGCGACATCCCCTGTCCCCACCCCCCCCAACACCCAAGTCTGCCTGGAGCACCTTATGGAAAAGCCACTTCCCATCTGGCAGCCCGGGGAGTCTCCTCGCACTGGCTCTGCCGTATGAGCTCCTGGGACCAAGCAGCTGGCTGACCACTGGGAAGGAGCCCAGAGGTACGTAGACACCCCCTGCCCACCCCCAGGCACCATCTGTGGGCCTGGACCCCGGACAGCCAAGGGAAAAGGCCAGAGAGACGCTCCCAGCCCTGAGGGGCGTCTGTCTTCCCTGTGGGAAAGGGGTGGGGTGCCGGTGGGGGACGCTCACCGGGGTCCTGAGCGGGGCTCCGCGGCTGGGGGTCCAGTCCTGGTTGCACCGTGTCTGGCTGTGGGGCCTTATATAGCCCAGCTGGTGGCTCAGCCCATGGCAGCGAGCCACGGGAAGCTGCCGAAACCAGATCTGAGTGAGCGGGAGGAAGCCCAGCCTCCGACACCACCCCCCATTCCCCCCCCCTTCCCCGCCGCCTCCCCCCTGCAACTACATCCCCTGCAGCGTGCAGAGGCTGGGATTGCACTTCCAGATCCTTCGGGACAGATGCTGGAGAGCTGGTGAGGGTCCAGGTGGCCGCCAACAGGCCTCAGGCCAAGGCGGGAGACGGGCAGCGCTGGCTGCGTGGGAGCTGCAGGGAGAGGCAAGGGGAAAGCCACCTCTGGGCAGCACTTTACGGCTCTGGGGTTACTGTGCTCTGCCTGTAGACGCCGTGTCTCAGCGGACACTGCAAACTCTCAGCCAGGGTGGTGACTGGTCTGAGCTGATGAGGGACTGTGGGGGACCAGAGGTCTCTGTCTCTCCCTTCTATCTGCCCACCTGTCTGCTCCCACTGTCCCTCAGTGCCTGCCTCGGACCTTTTGGACTCCCACCGGTCACTGCATGTGCTTGGATGAGCTTGTGGGGTGTGGACACCTCAGCCGTCTAGGGGGGAAGCTGCGGCACCTCTCACAGGCAGCTATGGGTGAGTGGGCACCCGGCTTGGGAGAACAAGGCAACTCCAGGCTCTGGCTCAGTCGGTCTGAGTGGAGGCCTGAGACTTTGCATTTCCAAGAAGCTAACTGCAGGCACAGCCCACTCAGGACAGAGGTAGGTGATGGGGGTGTCCTGGGGCTGCCCTGCCGCCAGGGGGCGCACTTTCAGCCTGACTGGGCTTCTTGTTGCTGGTCTGGGCCTGTGGATGGAGGCCCTAGCTGGGCCCTTACACCAGCGCTAACTCACACTGCACACAGCCTCAGGGAGGGCCACCTCGGGGTAGGCAGCCTTCAGGAAAGAAGTAAACCCTGGAACTCGGAGGAAAGATGTTCTCATGGAAATGACTCATGGAACTGAAGTAGAACAGCTCTCCTCGTGAGAGCCATCTGTGCCTGAGTGTGTCCCTGTGTGTGTCAGGGTGTGTGTATATGTGTGTGTGTGTGTTGAGGCATATGTGTGTGTGCATAAGTGTGTGTTGTCTTGATGTGTGTGTTGGGTGTATATATTGTATACATGGGTGTGTGTGTACTGTGGTGTGTGTGTGTTGGATGTGTGCATTACAGTGTATGCGTGTCCATGTGTTTGTTGGTTGTGTGCACACGTGTGTGTGCATGTGTGTTGGAGTATATTGTGTGTACATGCTTGTGTCCTGAAGTGTATATGGTTACGTGTGTGTTGGAGTGTCTGTGCATGTGTGTATAGGGGTATATTTGGGTGCCTGTGTTGAGCTGTATGTGTGTGTTGGAGTGTTATGTGTGCATACAAGCTGAAGTGTGTGCCTGTGTACTGGAGTGTGTGCATATTTGGTGGAGTGCATGTGTGCATATGGATTGGAGTGTGTGCATGTGTGGTGCAATGTATGTGTGTGCATGCAGGTTGGAATGTGTGCATGTGTATGTTGTAATGTATATGTGTGTGTGTGTGTGTGTGCATGTGTGTTAGAATTTCTTTGTTGGGTGTGTTTGTGCATGTGCGTGTGCATGTGTTGAAGTGTGTGTGTGCACACCTGTGTGTCTGTGGAAGCAGAGAACTCTGTTCTCTTGGCATCCCCCTGGACAAGAGCTACTGGAGGAGCTCAGGGGGACAGGAAGGCTGTGGAGCGGCAGTGACCCTGAGCTGGCTGCCTTCTCAGCCTGCTGCACTCCAGGCCTCCAGGACTCTCGCCCATAAGCCTGTCACTGGCCCAGGTCTGGTCCAGTTGGTTCTCAGAGCCAAGTCATGAGGGAGCTTCACTCACAGCTTTGAAGGCAGAGCCTGAGCTGACTGAAGCTCAGATCTGCTAGCCTCAGGAGGGACAGACAGACAGAGGCAGGCAGATTAAAGAACAGCCTCGTCCTGGTTCTATTGCTGAGTCTCCCGTGGGATCTTGGACAGGCAAGCACTCCAGGAACCCAGGGCTTCAAGAGGTAAAGGCTGCAATGTTATAGGACATAGCCCTAAGAGTGAGGCCAGAGAAGTCGTGTGACTCCTGGGGCTAAGTAAGGAGAATGGGCAGAGAAGGGTCCAGTGGGGGTGAACCAGAGGGTCAGAGGTCATGACCCCCATGGCCTGCACTCTGTGAAGCACAGAGTGTGTAGGAAGTTCCCTGTCTTCTCTCTTCTCTTTCTGCAGGATGCCTGTGGAGCAAGGTTTGGCTGAGTGGGGCATGTTAGGCCATGACCCCTACCTGGGCCTCCTTGCTTGGTCCATGCTCACATCAATGGCCCCACTTCCGAGTCTTGAGTGGTTGCTGGTTAGTGTCTGGTCATGACAGGGACAGGGCTGAGGAACTGTGAGCTGGAACCCCTGGGTTCTGATTCCGTCCCATCTTTCTTGTCTCTTTGCCTCATTTCCTCCTCCTCTTCCACAACAAAATCCTCTCCAGGACCTGGAGATGGTCTGTGGCAAAAGCACCTGCCTTGCAAGTGTGAGGCCACGAGATGACTGGTGTGACTACACATGTCAAGTGGTATCCTGTGACCCTACAGTGTCAATGTCCTTCCAGCCGCCCACAGCCAGGTGCATGCAAGCACCCCAACTAGGGGGTCATATAACAACAGAGGAAAGGGAAAGGAGGGGGAGAAGGGGGGGGCGAAGAAAGATAAAATAGGAAGGAAGGAAGGAAGGAAGGAAGGAAGGAAGGAAGGAAGAAGAAAAGAAAGGAAGGAAACCAGAGAGATAGCAGAGTAGGCAGGGTGCTTGCTCTGAACTCAGCCAACCCTGGTTCCATCCCCAACACCACATGTGGTCCTCAAGCCCCGCCAGCAGAGAGCCAAGAGTAAACCAGGAGCATCACAAGGAGTGATCCCTGAGCACAGAGTAATCCCTTAGCACAGAGGTAGGAGTAATCCCTGAACATAGCTTGGATGTGGTCCAAAAAAAAGGAGAAGAGAAGAACCCTTCCTTCTCTGTCTGTCTTCTCTCTAAACTCTGGAGTCCATGGTGATCTAAGCATCCCCCTTTTACTAAAATACAGTTCCTCATCCAGTATTCTATATTCCACAGATAAGTGAGCTCATCCTGTCTTTGTCTTTCTCCTCTGGCTTACTTCACTCAACAGGAGATCTTCCAGTTCCAACCATATTGCAGCAAATTGCATGATTTCATCATCCCTTGCAGCTGCATAGTATTCCACATCTTCATAACCCATTCAGCTGTCATTGGACACCAAGACTGATTCCATATCTTAGCTATTGTACTGAGTGCAGCAATGAATAATGAGGGCATATGTCCTTTTGAGAGAGTGTCTTTATGTCCTGAGGATAGATGCCCAAAAGTA